GGAGGGGCTGCAGCCCGGCCCGCGCCGCGCAGAAGTTTGTGCACGCGGCCGGGACTTGCAACCGGGACAGCATTGCCCGCTGGACCACCCGGCTGCAGGGCGGCGTGCCCTCCTCCCTGCCCTAGTAGGAGCCCCGCTAGCGGCCAGCTCCTGGCCGGGCTCCCCGTCCCGCGGCACGCCCGGCTCCTGGCCCGGCTCCCAGTCCCGACTCCCGGTCGCGGCTTGCGTCCGGGCTCTGAGCCCCGCGCCGCGCCCCGCTCTCGCCCGGCTCTGTGCTTGCCAGAAGCTAGTCGGGAGTGACGAGGCGTGCGCGCGGCGCGGGGCGGCCGCCGGGCTGGAGAAGCGGGGACCCACAGTGTGCGCAGCCCTAAAGTTGGTGGAGTGCGGGGCGGTGGGCGCGCTCGGGCCGGTGGTTCTCGCGGCCGCTGGTGCGAGGCGCTGGCCCGCGGGTGCGCGGAGGGCCAGGTGCGCGGCCCGTGGGCGGCGCTGTGCTCGCTGGGCAGCAAACTGGCCGCCAGTGCAGAGCCGGGTCGGAGCCGCGGGGGGTGGGGAGTGTGTCGGAGAAATGGGGAACAGTGCTAGTGAGCAACTTCAGGAAGTCATTGTGAAAGAAAGCCGGGAAGAGCTCGGCGGCCAAGTTAGCAGGGCGCTCTAACAAGTGCCTGCGCGGCCCGCGCCGGGCGGCCACTGCGGCGACAGCCCCTGGGTCCCCGCGGAACGCTGCCGAGTCGCGGCGGGACGCTTGGCCGCTGTTAGGCGACCGACCCGGGCGAGCCCGTTAGAACAGAGCGAGCCCCGCTTCCGAGGTGGCTCTTCGCGCCCGAGGATCAGTTTTGACCCCCAAAGTGCGACGCACAAATTCACGTGAGTGTTTCAAATTGAATTTCAATAGAAAAACTTGGGGTGGCTGGTGGATCAAATTCGAGAGACAGAAGGGAAAAAAGACAAGGCAGTAAGGTGTGTATCTCCTGGTTTCGCTCAGGTCTGCTTTTCCTAGCTGGGAACAGTGAGAGACTAGACTTTGGTCAAAGCCTCGGCCACTTTAGACTGAGTGCAGGTGCAGGACCGGGCGGGTGGTGGACACTTCTGGCCGCCCGCAGTAACCGTGGAGGACATTCTAGCTCCCAGTCATATTTAACTAGATATATACTTACAGAGTGAGATCACGGAAGTCAGCCTTTAGAAAGTCGTGCATAAAGAGCTTTTCTTTTCTGATTTCTGAGGCGAGAACTTTTTGCTTACACTGTAAAATAATTATTTGGAGCCTGAACTTGCTTTTTGTAAAACATGTATTATCCCGCTTTTAAAAAAGTTAGTAGTACTTTTGCTGACTTCAGTTATGGCTATGGGGTTACAAATCCCCCTTGTAATAAGGTGGCAGGTTATTTGTGACTGTATTTGAAACGTGCTTTTAAAAAATTATCAAGGATCATTGGTGATTCCTAAGGAATCTCGTGAAGACGTGCTTGTTTTTTTTTTTTCTTTCAACTTGGAAGCACAGAGTATGGCATCTAGAGAAGCAGAAAGTGTAAGGGTTCGGTAGGGTGTATTAGGCACTGCTCAGCTTTCAAATGCAGTTTCCTTTCTTGTCGGGCCACCAACCCAGAGGGCTTGTCAAGTCACTGTGCTTTACTCTGAGTGCATGCTCAGAATTTCCTACCCTTCTACACACTGGCCATTTCAACCCTGAGTGACTGTTGTAAACTTGGAGAAACAAACTGGGGTTGAAGAAATAGTTCCTTCACATCTGTTAAACGAGGTAAAATGTATAAAAATTGAAAATATTTCATGATTATAATATTTAAACTCATAGGAAGTCAAATGATTTGAACTTATTTGGTCATAAGTTGAGAGCATAGCGAAACCTCAAAGGAAATGATTGGAGCATCTTGAATTTATTTCTTTGTTTGAAGATGCTTTTATGAGGTTAATTGGGCTCACCTTTTGTATGGGATTCTGCAAGTAACAATTTAAGTATTATTTATACTAAATGTGTCAAAGTGCTTCGGTAACAAATAAGATCATTTGGATGCAGCTAAAGGTTCAAACACTGACAAATATCTGTGACAGGAAGGTTACCTCCTTACATCATAGAAAATGAAACATGTTTAAAAAATAATTTGTACATAAAGATATAAATCGCAATGTCACATTTTTAACACTATATAATTCTGGTTTGACAAAATGTATCTTATTTTAAAATTCACCACAAATGCACGGTCATACCTCTTTCATCTGGAACAGTGTATATATCGCAGTCTGAAGTCCACTAGGACAAGAACATTTTACTAGGTTAAATGGTCATGTTTTCTTCCTCTTTTATGGTGAAAGTTGAAGGCAGGAGTTGTAGAAACTCCACCATGTTTGCTTACTTAATTCATCGGTGTTTCAATTAAAGTGCTACATCTTGGAAAACCGTAAGTCCTCTGCAATGTGGAAGTATTGTAGTAATAGCTGCCCATCATGGCCTTAAAGGACAAGCCCACCGATCTGTGAATAAAAGTGTGCATGTATTATACTCGACCCTCTGACAAGTTTTCCCAGTATCCTGAGGGGATACTGGGACTGTCCTTGAAGCCATTTCTCTTGCTAAAAAATTGACAACAGAGAGAATTTGTCAAAGGGGCTGAAATCTAGCCAGTGTCCTACATCTTTGTTAACTTGCACAGAGATTTAAAATTTGAGGATGGTGGTCCTTTGGTTTGGGGATTTTTTTCTCCTTGATTTGGAGATGTGAATATGTGTGGTTCACCTTCGGTGAGTGTAATGGGTATTGTCAATAAAAGTGGAAAACTTTTGAAATTTGATGCACTGTACATATCTGAATATACTCACACACTGTCAACTACATGCCATATGCATTATATTTATCTCTGAAATGATGTGTATATGAACAGATACAGAAACTGCAGGAATATTTACACACAGAGATAACACAAAGCAAGTGCTCATTATGGAGAAAGAGGGATAGGGAGGAGGTAGAAAGGGTTTTAATATCTGGTAGACTCAGCATTAATATGGAAAGCCTTTTTTTTTTCTTTTACTTGTCTTTTACCTTTTACTAAAGCAAAAATGGTTTTCCTGTTTATAATGTCAAGTGTAATTACAAATGATGTTAGTAGTTTGAGAGTTAGCCTAATACTTTATATGCATAATGGAGATGCAGTTACCCCAGAATTATATGGCAAGTGTGGTGGTATTTTTTTTCCTTCCTCCAGTCTTTCCAGTTATAAAATAATTTCAGTATAAAATAAGTATTGGGTTTTGTTGCTTTATTCCAAAGGGGAGTCATGTTAGAGGGATCAGCTCACAAAGAGCAAACCAAGAAAGATCTTTGGTTCCCTGTCAGTCCTCACTGTTTCCGAGACTGACAGACAATTTTGGGGACTGTCACTCCTGCGTCTGGCCATGGAACCTGCTTTTTCCTGCCGCCTGTTATCATTGCTCCCTGTCTGGTGTCCAAACCTTCAGACGTGTGTATGTAATTATTCCATTTTGTGGGAGAAAATACAATGCATAAAAACACCAAGGAATGCAGCCTTTGAGATTTACAGGAAGAGAACCATTGGTCCAGGTTACTCCTTGAGACTGGAGGTTTTAATTTGCTCGAGCAGGTTTCTGTATATGTATGATCCATACGTAAGAAAAGTTGGGGTTCAGGGGACCAGCAACATACACACACAGGTTTAAGATGCAGATGAAATGAAAAGAATGAGATTCATCAGGGACTTGGGCGCCTCAAACCAGACTAGAACAAGAGTAACAAAACTACGTTTGTTGTGGTGTTGACTAAATGCTCACCCTGGTTTCTTCATGTAGACTCTGGGCATTTGTGTTGTTTTCAGTTAAATAAATGACTTCCCACCTACTGTTATCTTTCTTCATCTCCCATAATATCTGTTCACATCTTTTAATTTTCAGCGCTGCTGCTTCAGTAGCTTTTGTTAACTCATTTTTTAATGTTTGGTGATATTCTAACAAATACTTCTAAGACACTGTGAAACGTTTAAAGTAAAGTGCAATTTTAGTACAAGTGAAAATAATAGCCAACAAATGAGGCTTCACAGAAAGCGTCTCAGGGTACAGGTGGGCAGGGCTGCCACTGCAGCCCTGTGTGGAGCTGGCAGTCCCTCCTGAGAAAGACCTGATGGGAGGCAGCTGAGACTAATCTACAGGCCGCTGCCTAATGGTTTCAGTTGGCTTTTTTACTGTGATAAACAGGTTGATGGTTTGGGGGCCTTCCATAAACCACCTGGTGATAAACTGTTAAAAATGCATCTTCCCTGTTACCGGGCTGGCTTTATTTCCCTTCTCCCATGACCATTTTTGCCTTTGGGGAACTCACAATTCCTGTTGACTAAAAGAGTCCCTCTTCCACCACAAGCTGTCAAATCAGACGTCCTAATAATCTCTGAACCCATTTTGGTCAGGACAGGAAATACAGACTCCCTTCCTGCCTGTGTTGTCCTGAGTGAAAACAATCTTCCCTCCTTTTTTGCATATTGGTGAACAGTTCCACCTTGCTTTCTGCCCTAGAGCAGTGTCAAGGAAGCAGTGTAGTAGACCGCCTGCCACCCAAAGGAGCACGGGGCTCCCAAGTGGCTGAGTCCAGCAGACTTAGAACCCGGTGTCTGAAGACCCAGAGATCGAGATTTTTGTGGGAAAGGCAGCCCCCTTGGCCTCTGGGAGGTGCAGACTTGCTGGTGAGTGCCACATGATTTTTTCTCTATAGGGGGAAAACTGGGTTTTACTCTTCCCGGGGGGCTGTTTTCCAACACCTGCGGCACCCCTCCTGCTGGCTGTCTTGGGGTGATGAAGAACATCATCATGCTCCATTTGCAGTGTCTGCTTTGGGTTGCCTCATGCTCCACCTCCTGATGGCTTGTGACACGGGGCCACAGCTTAACGAATTGCTTAAAATGGGCCCTAATTAGAGGAAAAGTGCCTTCTTCATATTTTCACACTCAAGTGTGCAACGATGCATTTTTCTTCAGCAATCAGCTCACTGTGAAAGCAAATTTGACTCTTCCTGCCGTTTTCGCGCCAAAAGTTAAGTCTGATATACAGTTGCTCTGGTACTTCTAGGGCAAGATGAGGACGCAGGTACAAAGAGAGAACCCAGGTGGTTCCTTCTTTCTTCCCTCCTTTGCTTCTCCCTTTTCCTTCCTTTTGTCCTTTCCCTCTGCTTCTTCTTTTTGTCCTTCTTCTTCTCCGCCTTCCTGCCCTCTTCTCCCTCCTCTCCCCTCCTCCACTTCTTTGTCTTTTCTATCTCTGTCTGTGTCTTCAACCCTGTCCCCAACCCCTGGCCTATTTTATTTTGTAGTTTTGAAGACACTATTGAAACAACTAAAAACCGCATAAAATCTTTTTACACCTTCTACGTATGGAAATAGCTTTTAATATTTCCTTTTTAGCTCACTAAAACAGATAACATTTTGTTTCTGAAGCTGTTTAAACAGAATGGTTTAGGTTCGAGTCATTTTCTAAGAGTTCCATTGTGAGAATGTCATTTTTTTTGTTAGGTTTTGTTGTGAAGTAAGATTTTCACTGGCAAACGAGGAGCAAACTAAATGGCACATAAGATCCCTCCCAGGACCTAATGGGAAATTGTTTAATTTAGAATCTTTAGGAGAAATGAAAATGAGGAATTGATCTTTTATAAAATTACTTCTGAGGCACTTTAAAATTTCCTCCAGGCTTTTAATGGAACTAGAGAGCCAGAGACCCCCTAGTGAAAGCCCCACTTTTAGCCTGAAAAAGTGACCTTTTCCTTCTCCTCTGTTGAGCTGGTGTCAGGTAGAAAAACTAAAGTGATATTCAAGAGAGTCACACTAAAAACATATTGAAAAACTGTGCAACCCATT